AATAGCTCCCGCGACTTGAAAAGCTTCGGTACATCTCTTAATATTAAGTTCGGTAAAAAGTGCATGTATTTTTCTATTCATTGTCACTTGTCCCGCAAGTCAGGCGACGTAAGCCTGAATAGTCCTTGACAAAGAAGCACCTCTCCTATCCCCAATCAATGCGAGAGTTGCTTGGAAGCCAGGCGAATCTCCGGAGGCAACTTCGAACCTGTCCTTTAGGAAATATTAAGAGTCAATGATTGAGCGAACTGTGAAGGTATACAATTACATTCACATCAAAGAACAGGAACGTAACTTCCTTCCAGAGTGCATCACCATTTCGTTTCGCCCCGGGTTGATCACCCATGTAATGACGTAATGATAAAAGTTGGCGAAATCATCGTGAAGCATTCTCAAAAACGTTGCTTACGATGAGAAGACAACTGAATCGCGGATCTTCAACTGGCTGAGGTTTTTACGCAGAAACGAAAGATGGAAGGAATATTTTCTCCACACCCGTCATGAAATAGTATCGAGTGAGTGAGTGTATCAACAAAATTCCACAAGTTTGGGTACCCTGAGTCTCAAGGGACGTGAACTTCCCCCGCACTCGGTCAATTCCAATATACGCGAAGGTTCTTCATGGCCACTCCACAGCCAAGTGCAACACTCCTCGCACTTGGTTCAATTCATTACGATTGCGGGAAGGCCCCCGAACCCATCGCGGATTCCTCGAGATTGTCTCTCCGGGATACGGCGTGTGGGACTCGAAGACGGCCGTTTCAATTGTTTCCTCCCGCGTGGAGATTACCTTTCCCATGTCTTGCGAAATATTAGACTGCGTAGATGGCTCTCAGCTCCATAATTCTCGACTTCTTTTCACTAGTTTATCAGCAAAACCTTCGAAGCGGTTTCATTTAATCGATCCTCGAAGCTATGGAGCATCGGCAAGGGAAATCTTTCAAGAGCCGCGTAAAAACTATCGGGGATTTGCAGGGTTATTCAATCCTCCGTAATCACAGATCGCGGTTTCATCTTACAATCGGAAGTGCGTGAGCTCAAGATGGACACGCGGTTTCCCTCTTCGCAGCATCAAAGGAAACTCAGAAATGCCCGAAAACGACGCGAAAACCCGTGAACGAACATCACTCATGCTGATACCCTCGAAGTTTCACTGAACAGCTCTACGAATCCAGGGTTCGCACAACTCGCGGAAGTACACCACTGTATTTGATTTCGCGACTCACCCGACCTCAGTTGAAGTTTATTCAGCTCGGGAAAAGTTGCACTGTCGTAAAGCATGCACGCGTCAATGTTGGAAATCGTGATTCTCATGGAAAACGGTCGACGGCGGACCTGAATTCTGTTTCGTACGGAAATGGCCTCCATCAACTCGATGCATGTGCCTTGCGAGCCCCGAGTTCATTGCACATACCGTAGTAATAATTCACATATCACATAAAATCTTGTCATTCTCCAAGCCTTCCGAAATCCTCTCCAAAATAATTCGAGAGGAATTTATCTCGGAAGCATCCGAAAACCGTCATTCAGCTTGTTCATCTAAACGGGGGTTTCTCTGAGTTGACTCGCCGATGCTGGAACCATTCTTTCGACGATTAAACGGAAATAGCATCGTGTTTTTAAAGACAGCCATTTCACTCTTCATAGAAATTACTCAATTTAAACATTTAAAATTACCTCCATTTTGTTGCAATATTGTAAGCCCAACCGATTGCAAGAGCTTTAGGCGTGCCCATTGCAAAATTTCTCATAGATTTCGTTACGTGAGAAAATGCGAATGAGCGAGAAATTTCAGAGCTGAAGCGGAAATCGATCGTATCTTTCACATTATAAAAAAACGCAGATTATTGTTAGTTCTCTTTTTTCTTACATCACCCGGAGAAACGTGAGGTTTCAGGTTCGCAGCATCTCATATCCAGTCGATGCTCGTTCTTTTGTTCAACGATCTAATTTTTTATCACGAGCTGTAAGAAATCTTGCGCCGGATAAATACGAAATTCTTTGCGAAACTCGTAGGTAGACGTCAGGCAAACTATCTCATTTTCGCACTGAGAGCCTATCTAAATATGACGATAAATCTTTAATAGAAAAAGGATGCGGACGCTTTTTTAAAAACATAAAATTTCAACGAAAAACGGAAGATACGGTATTTGAAGGTACGAAGACAGAATGTATGAGGTGATGATACATTTAACAGCCCCAGCGGAATGTTCGAAAATCTGTGGTGTTATTTTTCATGCTTCTTTGAATAAGGTACAATATTGCTATGTTGCTGTGCCGTCTTTTCCACTCGTATGTGGAATTTTCGAGTTCTTTGTGGTATTGAAAATGCTAATGAGTTTCTTCCAATAATTTGGAGAAAATCCAGAATGTTGAAGAAAATACATCCCTGCAGAATGTGGATTATCAACGAACGCTTGAATGGAGTGCATTACAGTACCTGAATTCCGGGTACCAGCAAGTCCCGACGTGTCAAAAATGTTGATTTTTTCGATAGTACACTCTTAATAGTCTAATATACTCTAATTATCCCGTAGCTACAAACACCACGCATTTTATGTAATCTTAAAATATATCGGATACCCCGAATACCTATCACATATGTAAACAAATGCCCGGGTAAGTAGGACTGTTTTATATATAATTGCTTTTCTGATCGATTATAAAATCGATGCTTTGACGTTTTATTCAATTTTTCAAACTGAACTACCACAGAATTGTGTTTGGACCACAGATCCTTCTCGGAAAGAGCTGAAATGATGACCTTTTCTTTACCTTTTAAATTACAGTATTTCGAAAAAAAACAGCCTAGAATGTCCACATCGTAAGAAATATTTATCACCTGTATGCTGGTGGCTCACGAAAAGTCGAACTTCAACAAATAGTGAAACATCGGAAGGAATTTTATTTAATAATGCACTCGTCCTTAGGCTCATCTGGCATTTCGTGATTACGACTTGATTGAACACGCTTCGAAGTCGTTAAACAAATTATGATTTTGCTTTCGTCCAAAAAATATTATCAATGCAAGTATGCATGCGCGTCACTCTTCGGCGAAAATAGGGGATTTATTAAAATCAACCCGCAGGCATCTCATTCAACTTTGATGCTACTGGAGCAAATAACTGTCAAACGTATAAAATGGCCAAAACTTGAATGCCCTTGATCATTCGAAAATTCACTATATACTTGTGCATATTGCGCGAAGACAACAGTCATTTGAAACGAAGTGGCCTTCTGCAACTTCAATCAAACATGAGACAACTGACACGCGTTTCATGCAAAAAATATTTTCCAGGAGATTTGAACGATCATTTTTTCCAACTGTAGGTAAACGAACACGTAAAATCATAGCAACGGATTCGAAAATGCCGTGCACTATCCTAATAGCATATCTATTCTTAGCTTTTTTTTTTACATTTCATACGACGAACGCAGATTTCCGAGTTGCACTTGTAAATGTCAAACAAAACAAGACGTGCCTTCTGGATTGCGAAGATGAATTTCCAAGCCTGTTTGACATTGATTACTATCCGTATTGACTAATTAGTTCAGCCCAAACACTGCCGAACGGGGACGCGCATTGAAGCAACCATGAACTCATTACTGAGCGTTCATGCCTCGAATATTCCGCCTGATGATCGTTCCGGCATCGGCTGAGCGGCGACGGAATGATAATTGCGCCACCAGTGATACTCCCAACCCTTATTTTGGATTCGAGAAAGTTTTTGAAAATCTCTAAAATTCCCGACGCGGTAGCAACAAGGCCTCACGGCATGCCTGGCATGACGACAATCATAAAACGTCGACGTTGCAACGATTTCGACATTGAAGCGGGCAACCAAAAGTGGTCAATTATCAAAAATTCCAGATGGGCGTGCAACGACTTTGTCATTAAAATTATTGAATGAACCCATTCGCGACCGATGGGTTCGGTGGATAATTTCGTTAGCAACGGTTGAAAGAATCCCTTAGGCACTCTGAATGCTTGAGCCGATTTAAACCAAGGCCAATTCATCGAATCTCAGAAAATGCACGACTGTTAGATTATTCATGCGCTGAATTTATTTTTTCTTCAGAATTAACTCACTGAGATGCTAGCCACGGCTGCCCGAGTCGTATTATCTGAAGAGCTACGGTATTCAATCGAGTTGCGTCACTGGCTTAACGCGTGAAAAGAAAACTTGTGAATCCGCATTTCTCTTGAACTGTTACCCAGAGCGAAAAAAAATTCTTCACTTCTACAATATCTCTCACAAACTTGGAACCACGTTGACTGAAGGTGGTAAATCCCTAAATTAAAGGATACTGGAATAGCTAGCGATTAAATTCGGCGCAGACGCTCCAATTGAATTTTCGCAAAACATTTCGTGACTCCAGAAAATAAATTAATTACTAAGACAACAAACTTAACAAACAAAGATGAATAATCAGCCAAGGAGAAGCACTGGAAGTGTAAATAGACCGAAATCGACGTTGGGAGTGAAGTTTGTCTTCCACTTTATGAGGGTATATAATGAGACTGAAGATTTGAGTTCAGGTTGAGTGAGATTCCAATCGAATTAAAGACGGCAGGCCGTCACTTCTGATCATTAGAAGATTAAACTTTGAAACGAGGAAAAAGTACAGGGTTTTTCTCTGAATTACGCATTCCATTCAGATATTCCCCAGAATTGAGAGTCTGTTATTTGGTCTTGAAAACGACAGATTTGTTCCCAGAGAATATCAAGGAAGTCACACGGTATTCTTCACAAAAAATAAATAAAAATATTGGGTGAGAAACGGGTAATTTCGCGCGGACTTCGGTTTGAGAGGGAGACAGTAAATGAGCTGAGTTTTAAGGACCGAATGAATTGGCCGGTACTACGGCGGCTGCGGTTCGTAGAGCTGCAAATAGCATTCCCACTAATGAATCAAGGTCGGGTAGGCTCTTCGCGTCATGGGGAGCAGAAGAAAGAGCCCTCCGCGACGTAATGAGAAATTCGGACAAAGTGACTCACCAATTACAGTGAGATTGACGATGGAGTTCCTCGTCGGAGACATCTTGAAATCCACGCGGCAGCGGTACGAGCCCTCGTCTTCGGATCTGACGTCTTTGATGTTGAGCGGGCGCGGGCGGGTCGGGTCGAGCGACGCCCTCAAGCCCCAGCTCTCGTCCGCGCCCCAGGTCTTGGCGTTGTAGAAATCCTTGCCGCGAACGTCGAACCTGCAACAGAGAGTCCTCGTCATTCTTCCATAATCGACAACACTTCGTGCGGGCGTTTAATTATCATTTAGATTGACGATTCGGCGCGCGGCAACGCGTCACCATCGATTGTGAACCCCCAAAGCAATAAGGCTTCTGCTATCGATCGACCCCGGCTCCTGAAAGATTCGGGGACGCTCGGGACCAAGACGTCGGCTGCCCGTAATGAGCTCACCATAGTCGTCGGTCCAAGCCAGAGCACAGTTTCGATGAAAAATGAATTCCGGCACGCGTCAATTTCCGGGCTTTTCTGTCGCCCAGCGTCCCTACGCGTGATCTAGTAATCTCTGTCATCCCCACCGTGTTTCAGGTTACAAATACAGTCCCGAGCAATCTATCCACATCAAGGCTGCAGCTACTAGGTCCAGAAAAATCCCAAGGACACACGCGCACAATTCAACCAATTTCTCAAAATGACTTGGATCATTGCAGCTGTAGCCGAAGCGATCAGTTTCTTCCCAACTCACACGCGCATTGAAGCACATCGAACAACGTCCTAGCTTGGCCTGTGAGAAAATGAAAGCACTATAATAAAAGGGTGCGACACATCGCCTAGGAGAGAGCACCTCGATGGAATCCCAACCGAAAACATTCGACGCCGTAATTCATAAAATACAGTACTGTATCGCAGAACAGTAGCAGGATTAATTATATTCAGAATTTAATTACAGTATTTTGCTACGGGGTTCTCATCATATTTGACACGTGGCTTCTACGTCAAGATCAATACATGGAGAGTCTAAAATGTTGCAGTGCAGAGATTACTGTACATTACAGTACTGAACGTGCATAATGAATTCAAATCGAGTTGTTTTCGTCCCTATGGGGAATTCGCAGGAATCCCCGCCTATAAAACTGCAATATCACATACAGAACTTCACTGTTACAATATTTAAATTTCATTCTGACGTTCCTGAGGAACACATATCATAGTTGAACGCCGTTTCAATCACGCTTATTCGGTTATTATACGGCTTATTCTTTTGGTTATTTTCACGTGAAACCCTATTTTTTCGCAAAAAGACGCCTTAATAAATTTTTCAGCGATGCTTTGTCAAATTTAATTTAAGTTGCTACAAATAATTTACATCGTTGAGGAGCTTGAGGCTGAAAAAATTGGATTTTTCACACCCACAACAGGTAACTTCCATTATTCAGCGATTCCTGGTACATTTCATACCTTGTCAGTCAATCTCGGTAAACTGCATATCAAGTCACTTAGTCAAGGAATTATATCTTGAACTATGTAGGAGGATTAGGGAAGTGCGTGATGTTAAAACTGATGAGACATTTCAAGAATCACAAATAATTTCCCTCTAAACGTCAAATTACATTAGCAGTTCATATTAGCATGATCCAGCCAATATCAAGCTCACGTTACGATAACAATATCAGACATTAATGAAGTGCTATCCGTTGATGTTACAGTAGTTGGATGATGACTTGTTCTGAGAAAAACCAAGTTTTTTGCATTTTCGCACAACATACTTGTACCGTCTTTATTAAGACAATCCAAAAAATCTGCCATCGCACGTCGCCAGTCAGCAAGTTTTTCTGGGGTTTTTGAGAGAAGAGCATGTAAAAAAATCTCTTCTCAAGCACTGGGTGAATCATCAGCCGCGCGCATTCCAACAATATTGTGCCCCTCAGGGAACAATTCCCGCCAGATATTTACTGACTCGAACTTATTCAAGTGATAAGTTCAGACTACCGAGGTGATGAAAGCCTACTCGGAGGAAAAGTTACCGAGTGCAACGATATCTCCTGCTAAACCGGCTCGCAGTCGCGGCATCTCAGGGTGTTTCTAGACGTAAGACGCAAGTACCATCTCAATGGCCATCTTGACGCCGGGGAGACAACGTGCTTATCTCGCCGAGGCTTCCGTTGCAGCGTTGACGTCGGACGTCATTCATGTCCCGGGGGACCTTCACCCATGTAATACTACCGAGGTACTCTCGAGGTTGACCGTGGCTCATCTGCATCTCAGTACTCTACGCAGTTCTGATGCTTGTACAGTGTCTTCACCGACAAATACCCAGCATTTAGTCCTCACTCTGCCGTGCAGCTGGTTAATTAGCGAGCTTCGGAATAAGGAAGACACCCCGGGTCCCTAAAAGCATGCAGCTACTGTCTATGCCGAGTGTTGATTGATCACTGTCACGAGGGACTTCATGGGAAGTAACCATGTTTTGCGAAGAGAAGGGGATCCAGTGACAGTTCCTCCGTCAATGCTATGCCTTCATGTGACACACCAGCCGGGGTTCTCAGGAAGTACCGCAGTTCCATTACGCATTCACATGGTTGACCCAAAATTTCTATCGGGGGAAAGTCCATCAAACGTGCCAATGATGGGGGACACAAAATACGCAGGGGACCAAGAATAATTGGTTCCGTTTCACAGGAATGCTCATACATTGCTGGAATGTTCAACAGAACTAGCGAGAGCAAACAAAAAAAATCGCTATACACTACGGGGAATATTACATTAGTCAAAATCCTTGTCGAGAGTCCATCTGTGATTGCTAACCAAACTTTTCCTGCTTTGCTTTCAAGTATTAAGAGCATATATTTATTCTTTGGGGGGGGGGGGGGCGGGTTCAATATAAGAAAGGGGAATGATGCATGTAAGATACACTCCGAGATAGATCCAGAGGTTTTCGGAGAAACTCGCGGGTTCAGACAAGATTCAGTTGTTGTGCCGTTTCGGCACGAGGGTACTTTAAACGGACTGAACGTGCACTCAAGCGAGAGAGGTTCTATAGAAGGGTTCAGTCGAAAATAGCCCGCAACACATATTGAACTCCTGACCCCGTCGGGAGCTTTGACACTTCCACGCACTTCCACGCCTCCCGGACAAGGTAGGTCAATGACATCTCGAGATGCGCACGGGGTAATCCTAGGTCAAAACCAGACCAAATGAGGAGGAAATAATCTGCGGAACGCGAGGAAGATCGCGTCACAGAGCACTCGCTATGGATCATCGAAGCGGATCGGCGGAGTGTCGCAGAAAGTGATCGGTTATGAATAAATGAATCCGAGAGATGCTTGAGCGGCTCATCGAAGCGCAGCGCCGTGACGGAGGTAATCCGACGAATCCCCTAAACTTAATCAGATCCCCGACTTGAAGTTGCCCGGAGCTTTCAGTCATTTCCCACGGGGGTCGGGGACCCGTCCTGGAGCCGTGAGGGATAATACCGGAATCAGAGCGAGATATATTGTAGCGAACCGAGAAACAAGCCGCGTTCGCCTGGGTATCGTCCCCGACGCTCATCTCGAGGGACCTTCGTTGACATCCAGCTGGCCCGCCGCGTTTAAGATTCGCCGGGCTTCACTTTCCAGAGGAGAAAATCTCGGTCTCGTGGCCCGAATTCATCACCACCAGGTTTTCCTCTTCTTCTCGAAGGCATTCGATGACAGCGAACCGAAGAAACGCTGGCACATCGAGGGCCCGCAATGAAATCGAGTTCCCGAATACTCTACACATATACGTATTCAGGATTGATCAAATCAACATTTCGTTATCGTAGAAGATCTGAATCAATCCGAAGATTTATTCATTTAATTTTAATGGGACCTAAACCGACGTGTTTTTAAGTTAAAAAGGATGCTCGTCGCGGATACTTTCCCACGTTTTTCCTCCTGAAATACTGTACTGTAGTACATACATGTTCCACACGCCGTACTGTGTTATCATTTCTTCTTTACCACGGTAATCCGATGGCTGAAAGGATGATTACCGAAGCCCCGCTCAACTGTCCTGAAATTAACCATTTACCATGCGCATGGAAAGTGGTGGAAGTACTGCATGAAATTTGTGAATCGGTTACATCAATCCTCTTCAAAGAAAACAAACTTGTGCACCGCTGGACTACGAAAATTTATTTCAAATGCAGCACTTAAGATGCAACAGATACTGTATTTGACTGACATCGCAAACCGACTTTGTTTGTGTTCTTGGACATACGAGTCTTGGAGTACTTCGACGGCCGATAGGTTGAAAAATTCAGTTCACTCAGTACTCAGTAAAAACTCAGCCTTGAAAAAAATATTTTTGGCGTGACTATGAGATCCATGAGAAGATGTGGGATAATTCTTTGGTAAGTGGTAGTCGACTTTTAGTAATAGTTTCAGATAATAATATACAGTATTGCGAAAACAGAGTTCGGGAAAGAAATTTCGCAGAAAACGCTTTCACTCCAAAATAGTTCACCTAATACTCATTGCAATGTAGTTATTTTGGCGAATGACGAACTTTTAGATTTACATTTTTACCAAAAAAGTGTATCCACGAGGAAAATGCATAGCCGACGAGCAACACCTTTTTAAAATTTCACATCTTTCCTCTCATCAATTCTTGGATAAAATACATGGCAAATGACAGTTATTCCAAAGCTTTACTATGATCGGGACAACAAAAATGCGAGTTATAGCGGAATTTTCGGGCTGAAAAGCAGCGCAATCATAACCTTGAGTTATTTTCAACAGCAATGCTTCGCTGGTTTTTCCTACTGGAAGACTTCAGTTCAACGATTCATGCATGAACCACGTGACCTCCTGAATGTCTCCTTAATGGCACATGCATTAATGCTCAGTTTCCTTTGAAAAAACGTTTCACGACTGTGCATCATTCATACACGTGAAAGCGTGATGAAGGGAATCGTCACTAAATTCAGGATGGATGTTTCATGCAACGAATGAGACACTGAATGCTTCAGGGATTTTCCGAAGATGCAAATTTCGAGAAGAATCAAGCTTCATGAGATTAAAGATCTATCCATACTATCGAATTACAAAATCTGCTATTCAATCCCAGGATTCGGTAATAAAGGTCAGCGCATCGAAATAGTGGTTTCAATACACGGAGAAATGGGAATATAAAAAGCTCCCCCAGCAGATGAAACCTAATAATGCATCTTAAATTTTTCACACACGCCGCTAATGAGGAACCGGAGACAGCTACGGGTTCTTCTTGAAAACTGTTAAGAATTCTCGTGCGGGAAACCTAGTTCGAGACTTTTCCATAATGCAGTTGTTTGGAGGAGAGAAGAGGCGGGTTCCGCGTAACGTTGGTGGGCTGACAAGCAATTTTCCCTTTAATTTCACCCAGCTCCCATTTGCAAACACTGGGTTGCTATTTTCGCCGAAGTCGTTCCGCGGATGCGTTTTTCTTCCACCGCGGCGAAAATTTCGGAGCCAAGAGCGATCTGCAAGAAGTGCATGCATAATTTCCATCCCCCCATTTCACGGAGAATTACGGGCCCATCATCAAACGAGCGTTCCGGAGTGCTTGGCACAGGCAGCAAAGGCGGATTTCTCAGGACTGGTGCCAGTCCCGAAGGGCCGGCCCGCGCGCAGGTGACAAAGCCAACTGCCACTCCTGATGAGCTCTCCACAAATGAGTCTGTTCTTCATCCAACTCGGCTGGCATGGGTGCAACCGGATCATCAGTCCCCCGTGGTGGGTCCCAAACTCCCAATGGAAAGGCCTGATCCCCCTGCCTGCGGGAATTGAGCAAAAATGCAAGGCCGGACGGGAAGCAAACAAGGGTTCATTTGCCTCGCCGGCTTCGCAGAGCTGTTCCATGATAAATGAACGTAACACCAGGAAAACTCGGAAAAAACGCCTTGAATTAGGAGAAAAATGCTTTCTTAAACACCATGCCTGTTGGGCTCGACAATATTTTAGCGAAAATATGCTACCTGCAGCGCGATGCATTTTCGAAAGCGACAAGTCGCACAAACAGGGTCTCTTTTGGTGTCGTGTCACGATGGATACACTTCCCAAAAAACAAACACATTACCGAGTGTATTTTTGTACATTTTTTGCTATTCTGAACGTTTCCCATGACAAAACCCTGTAGTAAATGATGGGTTAATCATAAGCGGTGCTCCAACGTTGTTTGTTTGTTTCATCCCATGAACCGATTGTACTGTAGAAAGCTCCCTCGAATAATTTTCAAAATGAAAGATTCAAAGTTTTTTTGCAAATTTGCAGGAAACCCATCAAAGGATACAGAAACGCAAATTCTTGTGACCCATTTGTGAGCGTAAGGGGTTTCAAGCAACACTTCGTATTTGCATCTGAAATAGTACTCATACGTCTCGGGTGATATGAAGCATGATCATTTTAAAATGAGATCATATGAATTCAATTAAATGCGCTTATATGAATCAAATACAAGAAAAGCAAATCCAGATTTTTAAAAAATCACTTCAAATTACGGTGTGCTAAGCCAGCTAAGGAAAAACTCTGTTGCACGAGGAATAATAGAGCAAGCGCGATGCTATAGGCACAATATGCACAACGGAAATTCTTCGGAAAGAATTGAGGGGTTTTCCGCAAGGGTTCAAGATTATGCATTGGTTTTTAGCGGAACAAGCTCCGTATCGTCAAGCGGGGAGATTGAAATCCTCAGCGCGTGTTTCACCATCAATATTATTGATCAGCCTCGGGAGAAGTGTGGAACCAGGAGAGTTTCCATAACCACTTCCGATCCTCCAGAGATGCGCTTCAAATTTATTACCTCCTCGCACAAATTCAGGAGTTTCAAGAGAGTAAAAGCTTCTTTCAGCTTCTTTTTCATAATTACCAGTACTGATAAACGTATTTCCAAAAATTGCCTGTCATTCCAGTTCGTATCCATGGAAACTTCTCTCTATTACCTGAATGCTGATGCATTAAAAGTTGAACGTGTGTCATAGTTTGCTGACACGTGCGCGCCCGCTACCTTCCAACTTCCTGCTTACGGGAGAATATTGGGCTGCCTGTCGGATTTCCTACTCTTCCAAATCTCGCAGCTCGCGTATCAGCGCAAGGAATACGGCACTGTACTTTAAGATTGGGCTATATTTAGCTGAAGCCATGATAGATTTTTCGAGACATTTAAAGCACAAAAAACCGAATAAAATGCCGTTGCTGAGAACGGTGTTGTCTTTTAATCCTGTGGAATTTCGGTAATCTTTGAAAAAATATCGCTGCAAACCCAGTCGATTCGATGGTCGAATGAAAATTCTCCAGTTATTTTGTCCATGCTTGTACTGCAGTATTATTACAATATTAATTTTGTAAATAGCTAAATTTCGAGAATGCGATTCATCGTGCACTGAACTCGGCCATCGTTCCTCGACGTAAAGCGCAATTATTTTTATCAAGAAATTCATTAGATGCCTCCACACAAAAGGGTTACCAATATTTATAATGAAGGTATTTCCAAAAAGGCAATTACTGTCCACGAAATAAGACATCCGCCCTTTGCGTCACTCATGCAAGAATGTATCATAAGATGATTTATTTATTGCTGCGATCACCTGGGATACGAACGAAATGAGCAGGACTCTTCGTTTTGCCTCACGCAAGCCTAAGCTCATGCATCATTCAGGCGCAAACGGATTCAGAGTACGTAATTATCGCGTCAGATGAGAAAGGGGAAATGAGAACAAAAGATGCGAAGAAAAGCTGAAGTGGTGCAACCTCGTCACTGTCTGGTTGTCGCCTGAGACCAAAATATACCGGGGATCCTAACAGCAACAAGGTTTCATAGCAGGCGTGCGTGCATGCCTTGTCATGCCTCAACGGACAGTTCTGGCTTTTTTTTTTTTTGCGCAGTGATTTCTTCATAAACTTCAGTTCCGGGTAGTCAGAAAAGACCTCAATCATTCCGGTAATCTTCAAACATACATCACGCCTCGGGGAAACTTACGACTTGCTTCAGTTGGCGAACATGCATGCGAACTTGCTTCTGAAGTGCTCGCACAGATGTCAAACTTTTTAAGCTACGGAACCACCAAGAAGCCGCCGTACACCCTTTATCCCAAAGCGTACTTCGTCCCGTCGAAGACTTTCTCACAATAACCATCGTTAATTCTGAGGAGTTGATAGAAACTTTGGAACCATGAAAGGTAAAAAGACCGCCGGATGAACCAGCGATTCGTAGTCTCGTGTGACTTGATTCATGAATTCCACCCACTATACCGTACTTCTACGAATGGCGAACGGATCCTGGTTGCTGAATCCGATTTCAGTTACTAAATCCCTGAGTTCGAGCTACCCGAAATAGAACCATCCCATCGATCCCCTACGGGTCATGAATGCTGATGACGAGTACATTGGCTAGTAATTCTAAAAATAAATCAAGTTACGTGAGTCCCAACATCAGCATTTTTGAACCGAAAACCTTGGATGTCACGTTGTTGTAAACGACTTTATCATCTCATCATTCCACAGAAAAATCCAGAGGAAATTATTCTGCGACGCCCACGGAGAATATCGTATTGTATCATGGAATGAAACAAGTGCATCCGAATACGTACGCCAATAAAAAAAAAAAAAAAAAAAAAAAAAGGGGTCGTGCTTTTTCCCGGGCAGTATGGAAAAATAAGAAAGGTTTAAAAGGAAATCCGGAATTTTCTCTCCGGACGTTTTCTTCGTGACGACGTTTTCACTCAAATGAAGAACGTTGCTTCTCTTCCGTCTCATTCACGAACGTATTGAATTCAGCCCATCATTCCATCGTATCCAGAGAAAGACGAAAACTGCCCATGAAACACCAAAGTAATATTCAGAGATTTTGCATCTGACACAATCAAGCATTGTTCGAACTTCGTAGCGCTCTTTCCGTTATATGTTCAGGCCGGCAGGTAAATCATCCAGAAAAGCGTCACAGGTACCGCAATCACGACAAGCAATCCAAAATTACAGCCAGCAAAACAAAAATCTACTCTCTGAATCAACTGCCAAGTTAAAAAATTGATGTGGGGTTTCAAAACAGGCTCAGTTTAACGGCATGGGCAAGATCAAATAGACTGCTTGCCGTGAATCCTTTCGATTCTTTCAAGTACGAAATTTCCAGCGTAATTGTGGGAAATATTTTATGGATGAATACGGAAAATAAATTAGCAAATCGCTCCGTCAAAATTCGAGGGCTTTGATCCGTGAAGCTCATCCAATAACTATAGCAAGCCATTTTTCCACCTCTGCGAAAGAGCCATCTGACCTACGTTATCTGATTCAGCAAAGTTCGGTAGAAATGAATTTTACTATTGCCATCAATGTCTTCAACGCTCCTTTTTCCTTTCGTTCTTTTAAAGCAAAATGACACAAGTCGAGAGTTTCAACGCTGAGCGTTTTTGGAGCACCTGCGGCAGTTCTCGGGTGCATGGGAAATAAGTCAGATGAGTCAGCATCGACAGACACAATACGGACCCAGCGGAATCTGGACTAGATGCATCGGTGGGGTGGGGTATTATTTTCAGCCCATCATTCCATCGTATCCAGAAAAAGACGAAAACTGCCCATGAAACACCAAAGTAATATTCAGAGATTTTGCATCTGACACAATCAAGCATTGTTCGAACTTCGTAGCGCTCTTTCCGTTAAATGTTCAGGCCGGCAGGTAAATCATCCAGAAAAGCGTCACAGGTACCGCAATCACGACAAGCAATCCAAAATTACAGCCAGCAAAACAAAAATCTACTCTCTGAATCAACTGCCAAGTTAAAAAAAATTGATGTGGGGGTTCAAAACAGGCTAAGTTTAACGGCATGGGCAAGAACAAATAGACTGCTTGCCGTGAATCCTTTCGATTCTTTCAAGTACGAAATTTCCAGCGTAATTGAGGGAAATATTTTATGGATGAATACGGAAAATAAATTAGCAAATCGCTCCGTCAAAATTCGAGGGCTTTGATCCGTGAAGCTCACCCAATCACTATAGCCAGCCATTTTTCCACCTCTGCGAAAGAACCATCTGACCTACGCTATCTGATTCAGAAAATTTCGGTAGAAATGAATTTTACTATTGCCATCAATGTCTTCAACGCTCCTTTTTCCTTTCGTTCTTTTAAAGCAAAATGACACAAGTCGAGAGTTTCTACACTGGGCGTTTTTGGAGCACCTGCGGCAGTTCTCGGGTGCATGGGAAATAAGTCAGATGAGTCAGCATCGACAGACACAATACGGACCCAGCGGAATCTGGACTAGATGCATCGGTGGGGTGGGGTATTATTGCGAACCCGCGGTCCCGATTCGACACACGTACAGTCGGGACAGTGAATCGATAAGACACCGGCTGCTCGCATCCCAGGCTGCGGGTGGCAGCGGGTTCGTATCAGGACCAGAAATCGGACTCACGTGTAAATCGGCGATCCGGTGTCTTCGCGGTACCACAGGATCAGCTGAACCGGGTCATCAGGAATCGGCGAGGACAAGTCGCAGGGCAAGCTCGTCTTGTGTCCTCGGATAGCGACGACGGTCGAGTGGGACTCTGGAAAAGGAAGACCCCCAAGAGAGGGAGGCGGAAAATTAGACGGACAATCAAGAGCTGTTTGCTCGAGCAAATAGCGAACAAAGTCTTTCGTCAACTGACGCCACGCTATCTCTCGCAACCAGGCAGGCTGGGTCGTCCAATGCGGATTGATTAATCAGTCGGTACTCGGCCGAGGAGGCGACAGTTGACGAATCCAATATCCGCCAACTCCTGCCACCTCCGATCGCCGCCAACTTCTTTCCTCGTTAATGCTCAAGCAAACACGACCCCGCGGCGCAATTTCCCCCGGCATCTTGCCACTGAACAATGACTCATCAATCCCACTCTGGAGCCCGTCTGTGACAAACGATCCCACACCGAGTTTCTCCGAGGCGCCGCGACACATTTGCAAGTCCCAACCTTGCAACGCAGACCTTCCGCGTTAAATAATCACGGTAAAGAAAAGGATTCGTTCACATGATCTCAGCGCGAGTCCACTCCGATCAATCGTGAATATGTATGCGATCATCTTTCTACTTTATGAGCAACGCAAGTCTCAGCAACAAAGAAGGGAATTCAAATGATGAGTAAATACAGCTCTGACTCAAGTCATAAATTCCAGGTCCGCTGCTCACGCGAACACACAAATTGAGAAGATAAAAGTGCCAATCAGTTCGACCTTGCTCATAGAAACCCGAATACTACAGTAATAGAAAATTATTCTTTGATGGAATTTACATATTTCGGCGCGATGAACTTCGATCGATGGATGCGCAGTTAAGTGATTAAATCATGGTACTGTACACAGCCAGAATACGAGAACTTTGATTTCACGCTATTTTTAGCTTCAGGATTATTTCATCGTGAATATGTATGCGTAGTTGCGCGCATATGCAAAGTACCACCGTATAAGATGAGCGAAGCTACAACTGAGCGCGAAACGCTAAAACGCAAAAAAAAAGCGGCATTCGTTCGGAAAATAAATAAAAGAATTTTTTGGAAAAAGCCATACTGTAAAATATTTGGGGGGAAATGCTAGAGTAGTAGTGGGACGAGTCAGTGCTTTGGCGAAAAAACGAGAAATAAAACGCAAGAGAAACACACTTTATTCCGCGAAACATGAAAAGCGTCCGGATGAGAAAAGATGTTAGATATCGGGCTGAATAAAAAGTGGCGATCCACGGGCTTTACTGGCGGTTCAGACATATTTATGACCAGCCATTGCGCTCCACAGCTCATTTGTTGCATGACCAGCTCGAATGTCACCGCATTTATGGGGGTCGACGGCAGTTTAGCCAGCGACACAGACCAGATAAAGCAGCCGACGAACCAGCGGCTATGCGTCGTACGCAACAGTACTGATGCATCATCATCAACCCCGTCTTTCAGCTTGCGTTCGGATGGCTCATGATACGTCCGGTCGGTGCGCTGTCCGCGCGATGCAAAACAAACCTGGTTGCAATTTTAAAAACGTTCCTCGCGACGTCGACGAAAGCCAAGGGTATTTCAAGGCCATACACGATGCTAGTGTCTTCTGGTAGAATAAGCACCTCAGCAAAAGCGATCCATCCGCCAGACAAAAGAAAATATATAAAACAAATGACTACTGTCAATAAAAAATCCAACCGGGCAAAAAATCCACGATTTCAAGCTTGTACAGCATTTATAATCATCTCATCAGAAAATTCATAATTTCAAGCATCATAATACTTTCTTAGCGTTCTTAGCCAAAAAATAAAAATAAAATCAGGCTCCGATCGTTGATTGTTTTAATGACATGACTTGATTATCATAATGAAAAAATTATCCCGATTCAGTAGAATTAGATCTTTTTCGGAAGAAGTTAAGCGTGGCCAACCAAATTCCCGGTTTGTGAAGCCATAACATAAAGTATCGCCCAATTCTCGAAATCGAACAGCTGTGTTAGCGCAGCGACACTAACCATTTGAAATTCGGGTGCCTTTCGGCTCCCATTAAACATTACTAAAAATACTTTCAACAAAAGTCTTATCCAGGATTCATGATTAATTTTTTTTTCGAACTTCAAAGAGTTTCATTATTATTCGCATCGCTAAATGCTGCAGCTCACCGAGTGATCAAAATATATTCAATCGATCCTTTTTCCACCTGATTTTGGTGTAATCGTAGAAGGAAAAGCACGTTTTTTTAAATCCCGATTAACTTGACTACGAAAAAAAAATTAACGCTGGATTAAATATGCACGTCAACAAAATGTTCCTTGGAAAACGTTTTTTTTTCGATTCGTCATAGAGCTTCGATAACACCCGATTGTGTCCATTATTATTTTTTTAATCTTTAAAATCTACCTTTTTAGCATTCTCAGTGATGAAAGGATTGCTGGAGTCGACCGTTAATCGAACTTGATTATTCTAAGCTTAATGATATACATTACTTTTAGATCCGATCAGTGTTCTCTAAGCTCAAATCTATACTACCTTATATTCGCACAACTTTAGAAGTCTCGCATGATCGACGAAATCAGCAGCGTGAAGTAATTGAACGAATCAACATTGTCTTCTTGAAATTGTGATATACAGCTCTGATATACGCAACAAAGCTCGACTATGATTCAAAATTGAGGCGGGTTTTCGGCTAACTTCAACCTAGCGATGAATTTAGCGCAATCTAAAAACTCGCAACATGTATAAAAGATTTTCAACCGACTAGATCGCTATTCGACCTCATTCCAGCGTCATCGCGGATGGGAAAGCATGCTAAGAGCATCCAAAAAGACGACAACATCGACCACGCTGACGGTAATACGACGTCACACAGCGAGGCGAAGCGGCTCGTCCTCGTCAGGGGAGTCAAACCCTACGAGTTTCGAACACGAACCGGGTACAGGGGCGGTAAAATGAATCACGCGCCTGGGGAACCTATCAAAATTTTCGATCATTCCCTGCTAGGCCACAAACAAAACGCGACGGCACGAGCTGATTCATATCCGTCTGATGCTCGCTGTCAGGATCGTGGAAAGGGAAATGAAACGAGAACACATGAACCCTGTGTGATCGTGGACCAACAAAACCAATTCGCAGGACTCGGTTCGGAAAAGCAGAGACGAAACGGATTCAATTCGATCACGCCCGACCCCAACACCGAGGCGACAAGCATCAACGCGGATTACTGCAACAAAAAATCATTGGGTTGGGAGAAAACGTCGTCACGAAGAAAACGTCCGGAGAGAAAATTCCGGATTTCCTTTTAAACCTTTCTTATTTTTCCATACTGCCCGGGAGAGATAATCGAATTCGAAGCAAACCCCAAAAATACTGCAAATAAGATCAACCTTAACTGCAGTAATACTGTTCACCTCCTGGCCTTGCTTCACCGTGATTTTACGGATATCTTGCGAAGATTTTCCTCATTCCTTTCTCCAAGTCCTTTTGGTCTTTTTGCATCTCCTTCGCATAAATTTTTCCTGCATCATTTCCGCCCAAGTAATCTTCTCCTACGTCATTTTCTCTCTGTGAAATTTACTTCCACTGATGCAAATTTTCTCACCGGCATTTTCTCCACTGGCATTCCCTCATGGCGCCGACACGAGATATCAAGTGGGTATACAAGGGATACGGGGCCCGCGGGCAAATCCGTCCCGGGAGAGGAATTTTCCTGCCCGCGGATACTGTCTTGCTTGCAATGCAAATTGGCTAAAGCTCTGATAATGAGTTAAAGAGTTCATGGGGCGTTCTCTGTCGAAAAATAATGGCTATTCATACTTAAAGAGAAGGTTTTTTCACTAGTACGAGAGAAGCGCCGCGAAATCCACGACTTTTGCGCAGTTCAGTAAAGATTCAAACTTTCGAACATTTTTCGTGAATTCTCATAGCAAAGTTGTGACGTTTTGCACAAGAATAAAAAGATAAGTATAGTACTGTAAACTGGAAAAGTTCCTCAGCCTGGAGCGTTCTAAAAAATTATCCGCAAAATCCTTTTTTTAAGGTAATGTTGTGCATGATGAATTCACAGGCTTTTGGACATATATGTCAAATCTGAAGCTTTATATAAAGTCAGCAAATATAGAACACATTCTGGCCCTTCTCGTTATCCAGTTCTGGGTCTGGCTCCCCGCTCGGACAGTAACCCAACCTTCGGCCACTTTCAACTTCACGGCCATCACGAAACTTCTGAATATGCCATGAAGATCAAGTCGCGAATTGTCTTGATGTAATCGGAAAAAAAATTGCGCAGTCGAGGCAGAAAGAGGTTCTTTGAATAAATCTGCACAGTTGTCACATGGCCCAAGAACTCAGTGACTCTCAAGTAGTTCGTCAGGATTCAGTTCAGAAAGCCTGGGTTGATCGGCTACATGGGGAATATGGACGGGATCCAGCACTGAATCGCGGATTTCCAGACAGCTTTTTCATCCCGTGGAAAGGCGATACTGAATGATGATTAGGTCTCGCAAGCCAAATTCGCCCCCAGAAGGTCGATTCCAAGTAACTCATGGCCGGAAAAGAAAAAAGGGGGGAGGGATTTCATGACGACGGACTAAAAGCAACACAAGAGGCCTTAAAATCCGCATGGGTTATTTATGCACTCTTGGATAGCATCTGCACATGCAGCAGGTTCCATTACAGTGCACACAATCCCAGGGCACTTCCTTTCACAACCTCCCCCTCACCTCCGTTGTTCTCCGCGGCGACCAGTGATTCACTTCCCCTTTTCCGAGGGAGAATCCTTCAGTCCCGACACCATGCTCATTTTATCCACCCCAACCGCCACGGGAATGCTTGACGATACCCGACGTTCTTGCGCTCGTCGGCGGCGACACAGGACGAGCCGCGAAGGGTTCGTGCATTGATTGTTCTCCATTGCGAAGACGTCCGATTTCCCGCATTCCGTTCGGATCCTCGAGGGCCACTCCTCACCCGCCCTTTCTGGCCTCCGTTCGTACTCACGGCTTTAGGGCCTTCCTTTTGATTGCCAGGGGCCCGAAGAAAAAATAAATCTATCTATTCAATAAATTAAAGCTCTCTCTTTCCCGGAGAACCTAATATCAACACATCATATTCAGTCAAGAAAAGGAAGCACTGGTCTTGGGAGCTCCTATCCCAGTCGTACTTTTCAAATGGGTAAAATATTTGCTCAAGAATAAAAACGATTAGTTCGGAGGTAATCAATGTGTGTTTCGTGGAGCCCGAAGAACCCCACCTCTCGTCCGTGGGGCTCCGCGGCCACTCCGGAGACATAACGAAAAAGGACACGAAAATGGAATTAATTCAAACATTGAGATAATACGAACGTGGGCAAGAACTTGTTGCACAGAATCATGTAACTTGCGGAAAACCCAACCACGAACATCATCGGACACTTAGAATTTTTCATGGGCCCCTTGAATCATTCTCTCTTCAAAACACGAAATGTGATTTAGACGCAGAGATCGGAGTCATCACTAAAATAGACTAAAATTTATATGACGAAGCTCTACTTCATCCCACTTGTCATGGAATTACAATTGGGCTTTAAAAAAAGTCCGATTAAAAAGCATCCTCAAATACGGCTCCATGAATTGAAAAAAATAAAGATTGCGTATCGTTAATCGAAAACGTTTTACCGAAAGTAAGGTCGAGTTTCTGAATAAGCTCGATGAGACATTTCCATACACTTGCACAATAAACACTACCATTGAAATAAGCCCTTCCCGATATTGAGTAGTCACTCTCCTTATCCGTGGATCTCACCAAGTTTACCAATGACATCCCAAAGGGATTTTCACATTCCCTTCCGTCTTGCTCTTGATCTTTCTCTCCTCAGTCTGAAGAATCTACGAACAATACTTTCCTCCTTCAAACCATTCAACACACGTTGAGTTTTCTTTGCTGTTAACACATAAAAAAAAAGACTAAGGCTGATAAGCCTCAGCACATTTTTTTGTGGAAAGGATGAGATTGTTCTCTTTTTTGAGCAGACGCGGTCTAAATCAACCGATGCGGTAGTTTTAAGATGTGAAGGGAAATTTCTCGAAATAATTGTTTCGATGGGTTGGAGACATTTTTTGATAAGCACGGGGATACGAAATTATGTCTACTCCAGGAAGTTCCGAAGTTCGTTGCACTTTCATGTTGAAGCTTCTCTTCTCACATGAAATCAAAGTCACAAAAGCTTGAATAGTGGACTCCTTTGGATGCAATTTCTAACTCAGCACTGAAGCCCTGGGGCCACCGCTCGCCGTACGCTAATCGCGTTTCTATCACTCCTCAACTAGTTGCCTGCATGTCGACGAACATGCATTACAACGTCGTGTATGCTCACGATCGAGATAGTATGAACGGTATCGCCGCTAAGCCTAGCCATCATTTTGTCTTCAACTCCGCACCGTCAAAGTGGACTAAAAATACGAATCATGTTCGAGGGAAATTTTTGGAACACAAAGCCTTATCATCGGTACTGAATCAGCGAACGTCAAGGCCTCTCATGAATTTATAATTCTAAGTCTCTTGATAACGCAGGTACAAATTTGAGTGCTACCCGCGGAAACCAGTTTCGTTCTCGAATTTCAGCGCTAGAAATTTCATCGGACTGCATCGCTACTGCGAGAGGGGAAGATGCTTTAATCTCCGCAAGGATTGTTTTCTGTTTGCTGAAGTAAATCTCAGTCGGAAGATGGCAGAAGGAATTTCTGTCTTTCTGGTCGTTTCTCCTCGAAATCCCACGTCAGAAATTTGAGAACTGTGATGAACTTCCCCGGAAGCAAGGACATCAAAGAGCACCCACCATTTCGCAAGGATTTTGTGGGCGGGGGATCAAACAACCGAAATAGTGGCTCTGTTGCACGGCATGAGGCTAAATTGGAGGCATGAGATTCCGAGGAGATCATCTTCTGTATTTCCTCCGTCTGGGAAACGAAACAGCGCGGTCTCGCATATAAATTTTTATTTACTTATAGCAAACAAATCGGATCGCGAATGCATTCATTACGGGATTCCGGAAACCTGCCGGAAGGCTGCCGG